TAAACCCTGAGAGTAGCAAACCGTTGTTGGTGATGATATTGTTCTCACTCGACTATACTTTTCATGTTACATTTAATTGCAGCATTTTTTGACTCACCTATGTGTTATTAAGAAAGTACACTGAGCAATTTTTGAACTTGGTCTAATAGACCAGATATTGGTAATCAGATCTCAGGTGGTAATGAACCTATGTGAAGAGCTATAATGTATTTAAGAATGTATAAGCTTTTGCAACTGAAACATCTTTGTAGGCTGTGGATACCCATGATTTTCCTGTGGTTCCTCCCCATGCCCTTCAAATGAAGGTATGAGGTACCAAGAGTTTCATCAGTGGAGTGTTCCAAGAAAGGTTAGAAATCGACGTTAAGAGTGTCGAAATAATTTAGACTAGGAGGACAATCTCCTGACTAAATACGTCCCATTATCCTCAAACTTGTCAACTTCATCGAAAAACGAAAATGTACTTAGGAATGCGTAGAAATTGCGAGGAACAAATCTTTTTTATTAACGAAGAGGTTTCCAAGTTCGGACTGTGCGCAAAAAGTTGTGGGACAGTGCCAAGGCGAATAGAGATGGCGGAGAGAAGACTACATTATTGTAAGACAAATTAAAAATGGGTGACGTAATGTACGCCTGGGATGGAGAGAAGGATGAGAAAGTAACACTGTCCTCGCGTGCCACGTACAAGACTCCCACCTGCTCAACAATGATCGGTCATGTCCAACAGCAAGAAAGAATGGCCAACAGCAAGAATGTCTAGAGTATAGTAAATAAAGTCGTTGACCTAGAGCATATACTGATTGAACATGGCCCACACGCTGTCGTCATTACTGAAATGTGGCTGAATTCTTCCGTGCTGAATTGCGAAATCATTCCACCGGGTCTTAAATTTTTCAGAAAAAAACGGGATTGTAGAAGGGGCGGCTTCGCCATAGTTGTTAAATACTGCTTAGATTGTAGTGAAATAGAAACAAATGGCGACAAAATTAAGCTTGGTCATGTCGAATACTTCTTAGAAGCTGTCTATCGACTGCCTGAAATGTTAGAATTTGTAAATACACCTAATGAATTTCTTGGCCAGCTGCGTACGCACTCTTGGAAAGTTATTATTGGTGGTAACTCTAACCTTGCTGATATTAATTGGGATAGCTTAGTTTCAGCATCTTGTGAAACGCCGTTATCCTGCGCTTTACTGGAAATTCTTTTTTACATATTTTACAACATAAAAAACTAGAACGAGCAAGACGTTTTTGTCTTTTATGCTCTTCCCTTTTCTAGAGAACGTTACCGATAAACACGCTGGTGCGACCAAGCAATTCATGCACCGCGCGAAGCAACATTACCGAAAGTTCCCGTCAATCACGACACAATATCCTCAAAATGTCGCACCAACTGACGTTGTATATTTATACCACGTCGCGTGATCGTCCACGCAATTTTATATTTCTCGAATGTTAGCACTTTTTTATACACAGGGCAAGCCAGTTTGCAGGGCATAAACCTACCTAACCTGATGTGCAGTTTTTATAAATGTCTCTGTACTTAAAAAAAAACATACTGTACACAACTAATTTCAGTCCCTCGGTAAAGCATGACAAAAACATTAGAGGAAGCAGCTTTATCTAGACAACTGTGAGTCTACACGCAAAGGCCTGAATCATTATATCAGAGGGAAAACCACACACTAGTATGTGAACATCTGCATAGTAAAAACAGTATACAAAAGAATAAATGCCCCCCACGGAGTAGACCCCCACGTAGTTGTAAAAGATGGACATAGAACAAAGTAAATTGCACTTGAGTACCATGAAAGTGTATTTTCGGAGTCAACGCAAGTGCGACAAGTGTCGTTACCGCTTGTAAGCGGAAATGAAAACTGCTTTACATTTCAAGCATTAGCAGCTAAGGTTTGAACTCGTGGAGGCAAGGGTATCGTTCTCTACCTCTAATTACTTTTGGGTGTCAAGCGAACGATATATCTCACTTTACGGGTAAAACAGCGCAAACAAGGTCACAGGACAGAAAAGATGCACACAGACGGAGCGCCGACTGTCAACTGTTGATTTCGAAAGAAACGCCCAACGGCGTGGTCACACCAAACAAAAGTTACATCACGACACATCACCGACACAAGTTGAAGCCCCTCAAAAATGCCAACTCACAATTATAAAGGTCTATCGAAGGCGCGCTGACACAGTTGTTTTTGAACTTTGAACGAAAGCGCTCCGTCTTTATGCATCTTCTCCGTCCTCTGTCCTTGTTCGCGCTGTTTTACCCGTAAACATGCTTCACCAACTAGCCCAAATTGCAACGATATATCCCAGGAAACTAAAAGTTTTTTTCAATTTTTTTTTTTACTAATGCACTTACACCTTTACATTACATAGCGTACAAGCTTTTCAACAAAGCTTGAGTCACTTATGCGAGGGAGAAAAAAAACTGAGATTAGTTAATGAAATCTGGACGTTAAACAAATAAACAAAATGCAACTGGGCCACCTTGTCATAACCGAAGAAAAAATACAACAAACTTTTGTAGCAAATAAATGGTGATGGTTGGTGATTTCCCCTCAAAATCGGTTCAACACATCAAAAGACATGACTGGTTTTCAAATTTGGTCTTCACCATTTTTTTTTTATCTAAAAAGTTTTTTTGGCAAACTAGAAACGTGATGACAGATGAAGTTTAGGCAGCACGAACGGCTCCCCATGGGTCACAAGATGTTTGATAGTGTGGCATGAATGCTTGAAAACTCACTCCAGTAGAACAGAAAAAAAGGGCAACATCTTGTTTCCTAGACTAGCTGCTCGGCCTGCAAGTTTTACACGTAACGTCACCAAACACATCATTTTCACGTGACATCACTTCCCCTATTCTCGCCCGCCGGCTGCCATGACCACCTACTGAGAAGCAGACGCGGACGGCCGCCACCGCTCGTGCGCTGCTCAATTAAGACATTGCTACAGCGTGTATCGTGCGCACGTTACAGCATCCACATGCATAACAACAACACAAAGTTTCCAAACGAAATACAAGATATCGGAACTGAACACTTTAACTCAAAATATTCATAAAATGCATTATGCAAACCGGCAAGGCGTCAAAAGCGGAGGTCGTTCACCGCGTTCATAGTCCAGACGCTAAGTAGGCACGCAGTCGGGGTTCGTATCGTCCACGAGCAACGATTTTAACGTTGAAAGAATTTGCGTCTTCTACTTTTGAAATTGTTTATCTTGTCAGAAAGGACAGAAAACACATCTTCCTTCGAAATGTTGCGATTCTGCCGCGCAAACGCGAGGCAAAAGTTAGAATATTTCCCGACCTGCAGCCGCGAGCGGAGGTCATGAGAACCACGCGGCATTGCGTCGATGGGGACTTATAAAAAGATAGGAAGTAGGCAAATACCTGCTCGATAAAAGGCAATTTTTCTATAAGTCTGGATCGTTCCAACATTGTATATAAATGCGTCAAAAAACCTGCTATTACCGACAAAACTTTTATTATAGGGAGTTTTACTGGCGCCATCTACCGAGGTCACAAAACCGTCAGCTCTATCTTCTACCGCTAACAGCCGCCAGAAGCCGGAGGGGGATGGGGGCAGAATTGGAAGTGGATCGCCAGACCCGGACGAGACTTTTCTCCTTTCGCCATGTTGATCGTGCTGCGCAAGCACGGGGTCACGAACGAGTGAGTTCTCGCTGCTCACTGATGGCTCTAGGGAGAGAGCTTCACCGGAACCCCGCGCGTCCCCCGTTCACGTCACAGCGCACGTGACTCGGAAGATGGTGAAGCAGTTGAGAGTGGCCGAAAACCTCAATCTTTGTACTTGTTTCAAATAAAAACTAGGACATGCAGGCAAAAGGGTTTTTTTGTCCTTTACTTCAGAAAGGTTGAGACACCAACTCTGAAATTATTTAAGCAGACCACTGATATTGTTGCACAGTCCCTTTAATTAAAGACGTGTCTATACATGTTTGCAAGTCCGGTCTCAGAGCGCCACCATCTTGCTCAGCGGGGTGCGCTCTTGGGCGCGGCCATGATCCGATTACGACGCCTTAGCAAGGCTTCGTAAGTGGATTATAAAGTATCCAAGTGCATCCTAGCCGAGCAAGAAGGCAGCGCCCTGAAGCCGGACATGCAAACGTGTATACTTGAGGTATTAAAAGTCGCAGCATCTGAGCTGTACAAGCTCCCGCTGCCACCGAAACACTGGCTTCGTTCGATTTACCGGCACGTTCTGCCCCGGTGCGGAAAAGTGTAGAGCGGTGTACTTCCGGTCGTATCTCAATACACGTAACAGAAGTACATTGCCCTACACTTTTCTGCACCGGTGCAGGAGGTACCGGTAAATTGAAAGAAGCTACTACCAACGCAAGCGGGTTACGAACACCCCAGAGATAAGGAAGCTCGGCGACAAAGGTAAAATCAGAGAGAGCAGCAGCGGCTGTCTAATCTAGTAGGTGGTTCGTCAGTCCCTGCAGTGTGACGCTACCACCAGACGCTGTAAAGCTCTCTTAGCTGCTGTGGCAAAGCACATAGGGTAGAAACGTAAAGTTTCAGCAATCTATGTATTACGGATAACACATGTATGCCTCACCAGTAATGAAGCAACGACCACATACACAGTTATTGTCGAGGTTCTTCGAAGTTTTCCGGTGTATGCGAGCAAGTCACAAGCTTTGGTGTTTTTCGGACAGCAGTTTTGTGGCATTGTGTTACTTTCCGCTGTGGAGGATTTGCTTCTACTGCGGCAACCCCTGTGACCGCAACCCCTGTGACCGCAAGTCCACATCACACGAAACAACGCGCACCGAAAACGATGCAGCAGTGGCCAGCGTTGACGGTGGCAGCGTCCAACCGCGTCTCACGAGCTTACGGTAGCATGCGTCGACACCAAGACGTCTAGCTTGGTCCAGTAATGATGACATCATGTAAAGGCCTTGCCTTCTAGGTAGTATTGCGTCACTCCACCGAAAGAAGCGGAAAAATTTGAATGTTGGTTTTTGCATCGCCTTTATTTCCCGCTTTCTCAATAGCTGTTCTGAACTTAGATATAATAAATAGTATGCCGGGAAGAGTAAATCCTCGGCAGTATTCCAAGGATGTAAATAGTTGAAAAAAAAGTCTTGTCGGAGGTCCATTTCATACCTCTCCTCAGAGAGGCGGCGTCGAGACTTCGACGACGTCCACTGACGGGCACTCGACCTTGACCAGGGTCACCTCCCCACCCTTCCCTGGCTCCATCAAACTCTCCAGCAACTCCGACACGTCGTCTTCCGTCTTCACTACGGCACCTCCTTCGTGCACAGCTGGCGCTGCCTCCTTGGACGGCAGCTTCTTGTGCCGCAGCTCCTTGTGCTGGATCAGGGAGGCGATGCTGTTGAACTGCCGCCCGCACACGTCGCACCGCGGAGTGTCGCCCCAATGCACTCGCTCGTGGACAGTCCTGTCCTTTTTGTGGGCGAACAGCGCGTCGCAGAAGCTGCACTTGAAGTTGCCCTCCCTGTGAACCTTGAGGTGCCTGACGTAGTTGGCCTCCACCGCGAAGCCCTTCAGACACGACTGGCACTGAAAGGGTTTCTCGCCCGTGTGGGTCCGCTCGTGCTTGACGAGGCCGGAGCTGTTCTCGCAGGAGTACGGGCAGAAACGGCACTCGTGAAGCGCCTTCTCGCGTCGTATCTTCCACCTCCTCGGCGGGACAAACGGAGGACCTGCGCTACCCCGCTGGCAGGGAATCGCCACTTGTGCCGCTGGAAGAAAGGTTGCCACGGGGTACATGTTGAACTCTGCGGTACTGCATCGTGGACTATTGGCGACTCCAGCAAAACCGACGTTGCGTAGCAGCAACATTGAGAAGCTCAGGAGAGGAGGTCGTTTTGACTCTGTTTCTGCTATCACTGCTTAGTTCCCATAGGCAGCATAGAAACAAACATTGTTTCCAGTCATTCTTTCTATGCCTCCGTCGTGTCATTCCTACGCACTGACTAGGTTTCTACAGTCAAAAAAATCTTGATTTTACGCTGCAAGGAAAGAAATTTGTGCTGGCCCGCGTGCTGAACGGCAAAAACGACCTCCTTTCGTTCGCCATTTTGCCTGACCAGCGCGCCCCCTATTGTTCGCAGGGTTGCCAGGTGTGTACACTGACCCGCCAAATCTCTGCGAGATATAGCCCAAAAATAGCCAAATGTCGATAAAAAAAATAGCCCAAAAATAGCAACAAAAAAAAAAACTGACCATTTGAAACGTTTATTTTAAATACAAAAAACATATAATACATTTTTATACATGGCATAGAAATATTCACACCACCAGCATCATTAGTTCACAGGACCAACGACAGAGCGCGGGTAGATCACTGTGGACTGCGTTGTGAGATGAACTTTTAGCCATGTGTAGAGACATGTGTCGTTCTGTTTTTCTCTGTCCCCAGTCTCCAGGATGTTAGAACATAAATAATGAACACCCTGCTGTGTGCTCTGCAACGGTGCCCAAATGCCCCAGAAATAGCGTCCCTTGCACGTTCGGCGAACTTCCTGAAACGCTCATACAAGCGCATGACAACATACCTTCCACTTAATGGGACGCTTAGTATCGGGTCATGGTGACCAGAATGGCGTCACGGGAAAACTATGCAGAACTAAACACACAGTATAGGTGCACGCCAATCTACAGACAAGCTAAAGAATGCGCAGAACACGTGCTGCTGGGACCGCAAGGAATTGCGCCGTTTTTGGTTGAGATGGTGGAATAACAGCACATGCATGGCATTCGGACAAGATTCGGGGCTAAACAATTGCACAAGGTGCGCAAAGAGTAGACGAATTCGCTTGCTGTCGCATACTTGTCGGAGTTGAAAGACTGAGGGGCCAAATGTTTACGTAACTTACTCTAAGAATACCATATTTGAACCTTTAATCCTAAGTCCTCTGAGGCATTTTGGTGTGCCCAGCACGAATCAGAAATAGCCCAATACTAGCCAAATAGCCAACTACCACCTTTTCCTGCCAACTGCAAATAAAACTAGCCCAATTTGGCTATTTATAGCCCAACCTGGCAACCCTGAAATTTGTTTGCTGGAGTCACGAATAGACAAACAAGCAGCTCCGACGTCGCGCCGCTGCGGTGGTGCTGGTGTCGGCACCGCGCGTGCGCAGAGACCCGATACACGCGAGTTGAACGGACTGCGCATACGCCGCGCCGACGGCGGCGTGACGTTGGAGCTGCGGTCTCCGCCCTCACAGATTAGCCCTTCCCACAAAGCTCCCTGACCGCCACGATTGGTGGCTTCCTCCTTTCCAGCATTGCCCTTGTTAGGGTGGAGGGTGTGGAGGGCTTCGTGGGGGGAGCTGATCTGCGAGGGTCGAGACCGGATTTCTCATTTTGTCGTATGCAGCTGCTGTTGAATCGGTACTGCTTCAATACAACTCTAAAGGACAAACACTACCATTTTTCATTCAAAGCCACGAATTACATGAATCAAGGGCAAACCTTTTTTTGCCGATAATTACTGCATTTGATTTCCTGAATCTGGACCAAAAAGTTTTCAGTAGAAGGGCAAAGTGAAGCACTTTCAGCCATGCTTCAAAGTAGTGCATACCAGAAAATAGGAAAAGCACTGCTGAACAAGAGCAATAAGTATGTGTTTTTTTCCACGTCGAAGCAGAACATCTGTATGGCTGTGGTACATTACGCCCTTGATTTCAACTATATCTTATTCTGTCCAATTTATGAACTTTTATTTTTATAGGAACAACTGCTATTCTGTTAATTTGTACGAGAAAATTATGCACAAAATATTAATTCCCAGATAAATTAACTTAGGTAGAGCTTCAGCAAAAAGAGTTTCCAGGAAACAGACCTAGTTACTCTTGTTCGATTGAACTACCTTATACTATATCCCTTTTAGAGTTCTCGAGTATGTAAGCAACTTAACAGTGAAGATGGGATCCAAAACTTATAAACATAAGGGCTGGTTTTGCTTCTGTAAAACAAACAATAGTACCCTCCACGATTTAAACGACTGCTACAAGCCACAAGTGAGACGAAGAGTACTAAACACCACAAAGCAATTTGAAGTGTCAATGATAATATTACAAATGTAAGCAGAACTATACTCCATTGCAGGTTAAGAAAAGGAAGACAAGTTCCTCCCACAAGGCCCTTCGCCCTCTCCACTTTAGCAGAGGAACTGCTGGAGAGGAGGCGAGTCCACTCTCCCCTCCAACGTTCGGTCTGCTAAACTAGAAAGAGTGGACTGCTCTGCGGGAGGAACTTGTCCTACTTTTCTTAACCCGCAACAAGTGTAGTCTTAAAATCTGAGACTATACGAATGAGACGCCAATTGTAACTGTCACACTTCTCTGCAGACCCAAACCAGCTTTCCAAATGCCAGGTAATGAAATGGATACAAAACATATCGACATGAAACAGATGGTACAGGGCATACAATGTCACATCCACTTATAACAAACCGTGCTGCTGTGTGCTAAACGACACAAAAAACACCATGAGCTATTTGTACAGAGCAGGCCATCCACCGGGTTTCATATGAAGGATATGCCGGTCATTGCTAAGCTAGACAATTAATTCCAGCATGGAGAAGATAATGTGCAATGATTTTAACGTTGAAAGAATTGGCATCTTCTGATTTTGATATTGTTCACCTTGTCACAAATGACAGAAAAGACACCTCCTTTTATCGAAATGTTGCGATTCCGCTGCGCAATAGCGAGGCAAAACTTGAAATATTTTCCGACCTGCAGCCGCGAGCGGCGGCCATGAGAAACAAGCGTCGTGACGTCAGTGGGGAATCTTGTAGAAAGATAGCAAGCTGTGCGAATACCTGCTCGATAATGGTAACTTTTCTATAAATCTTGTTGTTCCAACACCTCCTTGTGCTGGATTTATTTTATCTATCTTGCAGACAACACATGCAAAGGCAAATATGACAATAATCTACCATTTACATTGTTCATAGCATGCAAATGGTCAAATTGCAACTTTTTTTCACACAATCTTTTTGTTCATATGTCACAAATTTTAGCACACTTTTAAGTGTGTAGTAAATGATTTTGCAGGCTATTTAAGGTACCATATTGCCTGGATTTACCTGATCCTGTATACAATATAAAGGTGTTTGTGTACTCTGAACACCACACATGGGTACATCAGGTGATTTGAGCACCTCAGATGAAGCATTGGTAAAACATTTGAAGGCATTTAATTTTTTTTTCTTTCATGGATGCAAATCCACGAGGTACATGTGAGAAGCATTAAATCAAAGGGAGAATGCATAACATAATAAAACTAAAATACCAAGCATGTGCCCCCAACACAATAAGTGGCTACCTTTGAACCGTTTGAAAGATAAGCAAAGGATATATCCAGCACCAGGGGCATAGCCAGGGGGGTAGCCAGGGGGGGTGTTTTCGGGTTAGAACATACCCCGAAATGTATCGTTTGCCCCCCTTCCCGCAATCCAATCAGCCCATTTTCTTTTACACCGCTCTATGTTTCTTTCACGACTCCCCGCATTATCAAGACAAAAGATCAGATATTAAGTTTTTTGGTCCATTCCGCTTGCCAGGATAGGAATAGAAATAAGCCCACAAGGAGGTATCCAAGGGCGTAAAGATTACCTGGTCATTATCTTTTCAAGTTGTAAGAAAAAGCTTTCACGAGAGCGTGACCTCGTGCTGAACGATAGACATGTCAAATTGAGCGCGTAGCTCGCACCACAGTGTCAGCTTACGAGTGAATAGAGTTGCAAGAGAGAGAGAAAAGTATGCGAGCTATGCCTCCCCTACTTTTACAACTGACGCGTGCCAAGATACAAGCAGGAGGAACCACGAAAAACGAGTCTCGTGTGATGAGTGGCAAGCAGTTACCGGATGCCCCAGTAAGTCGCCGTCGCATCTCGACGCATCAAACGCTACCCTGCGAATTCATTTTTAGCTGGTTTTCGTTTCATGGAGAGCACAAGCACATTTGATGTATGATTACTTTCCAAATAAAGTGAAGGCTATAATCAGAACCTCTTTTGTCAGCACGCGCCTCAGCTCCACAAGCTGCATCGCCGAAGCTACAGTGGCTCACACTTGTTGTCAAGAGCAAACTCTTTACGTATAGGGGTAAGTCTAATTTATTACATGTGTGCTCTTTGGGCACTCGTGCATTAATGTGTTTGCTTAGCAACTGAAAGTATGGTGTTGTGTTTGGGCTTGGCTTTTGTTATGTAGGGATTACAGTAAGAATGTGAGGTGAAACCGTTTCCATAGGGTTTTGTTTGCACACTTCCCGTCTCTTTTTACATCAAACTGCACCACCAAAAGAAAACACCCCCTGAAAAACATTTCTGGCTATGCCACTGTCCCTGACCCAAGCAAGACTTCTAAATTCACATGGTGCTCCTCCTCATTGAACGCTTCTCCAAGCACTCTGGTGCAAAACAGTGAAGCCTTTCCTATCGTGTACCCCATCCCCATTTTTGCTCTTGGACATAGCAACTGCACGTTCCCAATTACTGAAAAATTATCTCAAACTTTTGGGTGTGCACTGGCTCAATATTTTACGATAAAAACACAATGAACACTTGATCTATGTTGGCAGTTTGTCAAAGATATAGTGTGACTTAAAGATAGCGAGTGAAAAAGTTCTCGCATTCGCAGAGCTGTCATAGTTGAGACAGCTAAATGACTCTTTGGGAAGAGATAAACGGTGCTTTAGAATTTAAGCCTTCCCGATTCATCAGTCATGACAGGGGCGTACAAATTTTACCTAAAACCCATTACACACACACATTATGATGTTCACGTGTAATGGCTATCGAGGATAGTTTCACACATAACTTTCTTTGGCGAACACCACATGGCAAGACTCTACTGGCAACCTGTGTAAACTTTCCAACAAAGTTTTAAGACATTTGACACAAAGACACCTCTTAAAGGGCCCCTGAAAAAAGAAATACTTTTTATAAACAATAGTTGGTACACACGTGCCAAAAAAAAATTTTATACAAAAGAAAAATTTGTTTAGAGCAATAATGACGATTAGAGATTTATTTGAAATTCTGCGAGCAAGGTCAATGACGTCAAGGAATGATCATTCGCTCAACGAGATGGTCATTCGCTCTTTCCACCTCAACGTGAAGGCGAAGCCGATCCTCCTCCATGTGCCCGAAATACAGAGAGAACACAAGGGGAAAGGAGGTGACTATACCGACTAAATCGCGTCTCGCGCCTTCAATATTGCTCTAAAATATTTTTTTTTTTTGTGTAAAATTAATTTTTTGACATGCGTGTCCCAATTAAACTGTTTTAAAAAAAAAAGATTTTTTCTTTTCAGGGACACTTTAACAGGGAGCCGCAGAAGTATTTCCTGATGGGCAGAAATTCAAGTTCCATTTCCTCTTGGCCTTCCCATATTCCTTTTGCACATGGGAAACAAAAGTCTCCTTCTTTCTACTCGAAGTATGGCCTTTGACGACCTCCAAGAAATCACATAATTGAATCTGAAACATTCCCCGCTACACAAGTACTACTAGTGAAGATGCTGAAGCACAAAAGGCATTTCCGAAATCTCAGGGAAGTTATTGTCGACTAAAACTGAGAAAAAACTGCTCCCTGTTATGTGTCGCTTGTTCAAGTGTATATGTATAGTTCAACAATATCTTAGAAGCTTTGTGCAGCACTGTGGTAGTCACAAAAAGGAAAGAGAAAAAAATTTGTTATACAAATTTTGAGCGACAGGATGATCGCCGACGGGCACATAAAAGCGACGTTTGGAATGCACAAAAAAGGAGTCCGGGATAGAAGAAAATGCTTCTTCCTACTCCTCTCCAACTGCTTGGGTTACGCTCTCCCCACAGTAACTTTGATAACACAGCAGACAACAACTAAGATGGAGTTTAGGCCAACATGTCCCGTGAGTAGCAAATTTAGACAGCCACGTCTCGTAACCATGTACATCTCCAGCCCCTGGAAATTTCACCCTAAATGTGTTGCCTATAATAACGAATCAAGGTCAAGATCGCAAGTAATAAACAGCAATCGCAAGCAGTGGCGAAACTAGGGTCAGTGGCACCAGGGGCTATGGGCTGCCGTGAGACCTGGCGTTACCTGCCACAAGACCCACCCATTGGCCACAGCAACACCCCCCCCCCCCCCCCCCCCCCCTTGCCATGCCACGGAGTGCAAGGCCACAAAAACCATCGTGCAATGGTCTCTGGCCACTTCCACTTCACGCCTTACATAGTCTTATATCCTTGTAAGTGGCGAGGGAAATGCCCTGCCTTCACTTTTATACACAAGGGGTACACATCACCCGGAGTGTTCTTTAGGTTTGTTACCTGCAGTCATGACCAGAGGAGAAAAGAAAGTGACCACTAAGCGGAAGGCTAAAAAAAAAGATCAAACCACTGTTCAGTGCTGAGGTTTTGTCTCTTTCTCAAGAAGGGCAACCAACAAGAGACAATGGTGAAGCTCTGGAAGTACTGTATGACCCAAGGGCTTAAATAATGTTTTTCTTTTTCTCTTATGGATTGCCTTTTAAAAGCTGCATTCATAATAATGAGAGAAAAGGGCATCTATTCACCAACTTTGTTCTCAAACTAGCTGTCCATAGCCCAGACTGCAGATTTATATATTAGAGAGGCAGAACTGTGTGCGGACAAATGGGTCCACAAAATGTTTGTTAATGTAGCGGACCGTCCACACTGACGGGGTCTATGTTAACAAGACATACCTGCACCGCAGACTTTCAATAAGTAAAGAAGACACCTTACAACCTGTCGCCTTCCCTTAAAAAAGGAGGCACCGAAACTCCTGCGGTAACCTCAACCGGCGGGCACTAAGCTGCGACGGCGTTCGGGTCCTTGTGCAGACTATGACACGTCTTCCGTCTTTGCCGCGGCAGGGACGCACGCCGCTTCCGACGGCAGCTCTCTATGCCGCAGCTCCTCGTGCTGGAACATGCAAGCGATGCTGCTGAACTGCCGTCCGCACACATCTCATCGAAGGCTGTTGCCCCAGTGCGCTCGCTCGTGGAGAGTGCGGCTCTTCTTGAGCGCAAAGAGTGCGTCGCAGAACCTGCACTTGAAGCTGCCCCCCCTGTGGACCTTGAGGTGCCTGGTGTAGTTGGTTTCCACTGCAAAGCTCATCAGGCACAACCGGCACTGGTAGGGTTTCTCCCCCGTGTGGATGCGCTCGTGCCTCACGATCTTGGAGCTGTAGCTGGAGGTGTATGGGCAAAAGCGACATCCAAGCACCGTCACCTGGTGGCGGACCTTCGACCGATCTTGCGTGCTTGCCAGGCGAGGAACCCCAGCCGCTTCTGCTGCTGGGGAAGGAATGCATTGCATGCTTTAGGCAATGTGGTACCACCCTGTTATCCCCCCAAAAATGTGAGCACTACTATGTTGCGAGCGTATTTCGCCAAATAGTTACCGCTTTGTACGTCCAGGACAGAGAATGTCATTTGGGAAAGACTGTATCCAGGTTGATTGAGGGCACACTTCTAGCTCAGAAATGCCTGTTCTGAACAATTTTCGAATTTCAATTGCACCACGGCATTCTGCCTAAGGCTTTTGGCAAAAGGAACATCACAAACCTCTGTTCCTGCATCCCCTTAAAAGCACAATTGGCAGTGCATGCTACACAAGAAAAAGAATATACAGAAAAAAATGGCAATGAGAATGTGTCCTTTCCTTGCATTCTTTTCGTATTAGGTTACCACAGAGATGTTTTTACATTCCATGATCTTTCACATACATCAAGTAGTTAGGGCTACATTATAAATAGCCCACACTGACTAGTCTTATCTTCTTTCTTTGATATCAGAAAAATGTTTTCCAGGTATACTGTTGTGCGTTTGTATGTAACTACTGGATCATTTCTGAACATGCTAGGAGTGTTCTAGTGAAATGCTTTTATGCTGTGTGTGTACTTGTTTGGTGTTCTTTATACAAATTCTTTGGATATGTCATTTCCCAATAAAGGTTTTGTGTACTTATCAAGTACCCGGTCGCATTTTCTAAAAATGCTGCAAAAGACGTGATGTTGTTCTTACGGCCTACACCTGATAAGTGCCAATTTCTTGCTGACACAAGACATAAACACCAAGAAATGCTAACTCTGGGGGGATGAAATGACCCCTGAGAACATGAAACACTAAATATAACAGTCTTTTTACATAAGTATGGAATTCTTTATGCTTTTTCCAATTCCATTCTATCGGTTTCCATGAAAGGCGTTTGCACCAGATACTGATTCCTGGAAATATGAACTTTTGTTCTGCGCGATTTTTGAACACCATCTCTTTTTTTCATTGTGAATTCCTGCAATTGTATAGCTAGTCAAACGGCAAAGCCATATACCAGATTCAGAAAAGTCCAAGTTGTCCTTCCACTATGTGAAAGAAAAAGAACATCACTTGACTACTCAAAGCACTCTTAAAATCCTAGCAAATAAAGGTCACTAAATACCACAAAGCTATCGAAGTGCAAAAGATAATTTTGCAAAACTATACGCAGATGACTAATATATATATACAAAGTGTCTCCGCGAAAAATGTAGTTTTTTTCACCGCAAAAATACACTATGCATCGCCGAACTTTCATTCTCCGCCCAAAGGAAGTGCTAGAGGTCCGAACCAGATTCCAAGGTTTCAGCACCGATATTTTATTCAAAAGTTATAAGTGATTATCTGAAAATGTCAACAAAAAAAATGGGGCCCATTTTCGCCCGTTTTCAGTTTCTAGTGCCATGGAGCTCCATGCAATTGAGAGCTCTGTTGGCCACTGTTTTCCCATTCAAATTTTCAGAAAATCACCCCTACTTTTGAACAAAAAATTGATTCGTGCTGGTACTTTGCCCTCTGGTTCGAACCTCTAGCCCTAGCTCTAGGTGCAGGATGAGCATTCGGCAGTGCATAGTTTACTTTTGCTGTGATAAAAACCCTTTTCGAAGACATCCTTTACAGGGTATATATAAAATAACTTTGCAGGGTATATAAAAAGAACAACTCCCCGACCACATGAGCCAGAAGGTGCCAAGAGTAGACAAAATGTAACAAGTACTACCTTTATAGGTATGTCTTAGCATAGACCCAAAATGACTTTGCAGGTACCAAGACATAAAATTAGTACCAAATACTCTAGCAAGTAATGAACATGGTTGAGAAACAGCACAGAACCAGTCAAGGTCATAGCCCTTCTCACAAACACCTCTACAACTTACCGTAAAGTACCGGGCAAGTGCCCACTCACAATTGAGAAATAATCGCGGAAAAATGGAAGATGGGCGCTTGTCCGGTCATCCATCTTACATATAAATGTACTGTGCGTATTTTCTCAGATCTTACAAAGTTGGGAATTGGCGCCTAGTGTGTAGTGGGCGAATGTGCGGTATTTTACGATAGATGTGCGCATTATACACTCAGAAAAACAATGCGCTCCTTGTACAGAGCAGCCGCGCAATGAGCACAAGGCCAGCGGGTAGAAATTAAAGTAAATTAGTTGCTGCTCATGCACCAAAACAACTAAGTCCACCTGACATGCCGGAGAAAATGACTGAGGATTAATTCGTGCCACTAGGGATCTAGATAGCCCTAAAAATCTTCTCATCTGCACATAACTGGAATGAAGGTGTGGTGCTATTTCCGAGTTCAGATCAATGCACCATCTGTGAGTAATGGCTGCTTATAAGTTAAAACTAGGGTTCCATATTTTGGGGATTTATATTTCCTCAAATTCAGAATGTTTTGTTTTTAAAGGTTTATTATTATTATTTTTTTTTTTACACATTTGGCGTTTTTTGAAATATACGTTTGGTGTTGGACGATAAACTGGGGTTTATCTTGAAGAGAAAACTAATGCAGGCATGGGATTCCCATACCTTTGGAGAATGTAAGCGTGACCCCTAAGTTCCGGAACATTTGGAAAATGGCTGAAAATGAGATAAGATGAGACAAAGAAAGATGAAATAAGAAATTAGACAAGTTCATTAAGGGCTGCACTCTGGGTCAATGCAAAATAAATGCTGCAAAAAAAGATTTTCTTCCCACGAATCTTGGGTCTTTCCTTATTCAAGGAAAGCTCCAATTCACTTTTTTCGTTTTTCTTTATTTTTGAATAAATTCACTTGGAGGTTAATTTTTGGGGCTTGTCGGTTACACGTGTAACCCTATTTATCATGCCGTCGGAATTATATTAAGCACCTCGATCATGAAAGGATGAACAGCAAAATATATCTGCGGATCGGAAGCGCTCCTGGGATACACAATAGATGGTGCTGGTGTCTTCTCTCATTGTAGGCGGTAACATGTGGCTGCAACGAAGTCGACTGCACTGAAACGCAAATAAGTAAAGCACCCTTAAAAGCCACACAATGCCCCTCATGGCATGCTCTGCCTAAGCGGTTCACAGTGTTGCTGAGACTACCGTATTGACAGACTCTCGCACATTTAAACAACTCCCACAACATTTAAACATGTTTCCATTGGCATTTCTCATAAAAGGCACTCCTTATAAGTCTTATAAGAAATGTTGGTTGCACAATTGAAGGTTGTAGCAGCGTAAAAACAAAGGCTAGGCGACAGGCTACAGTTGAAAAGAAAAAAGCACTCAGTACGCAGCAGACGAAGGTAAAAACGCAAACATCACTGAAAACACCGTGTCGATATATCACGGTATTTCCCTCCCGAAACAATGTCCCACGCGACCGCTAAAGGCACGTCCGCTTATAACTGGTAGAATGCTTAAGGTTAATAAATTAATCTATAGTCCGGCTGGGGTAGGTTAAGAAGAATGTGACAGGCTGCTCCCACAAAGCCCTCCACCCTTTCCAATTTAGCGGAGAGAACGCAGGAGAGGAGGAAACCACCAATCCTGGCAAGCAGAGGGCTTTGTGGGAGGGAATCGTCCAGTTTTTCTTCACCCGCAACTGACTCTAGGTGCAATCATTTGAAGTAGGGGGACAGGAGAAGTTCTGGTTGCTTCTTCTTGTTCCAGGCGAAAGAGCCGGGAAGAGCGAAGACTGGGGCACCAACAATTTGAATGCCACATCTTGCCGTCAACTTGCCCAAGCTGCCGGACGAGAGTGGAAAGAAATGGCACGTTATACGAATACTGCATAAGCAATTCGTAAAATTTAATGCTGTATTTTTTTACCGCCAAAGTCACGAAAGTGCCCCCCAAAAAATATTTACCGCTTTCTTCTTCTTTGCTGCAAAATTAAATTATACGCGTTGCCGAATGTGCTGTCTCTGCCCAAACGTAGCGCCAGTAGTCAGGGCACGACGCCAAAGTTTGAGCACTTATCTCGTTCAAAAGTAGTAGATGACATTTTTAAAAGCTTGATAGGAAAATGGGACCTGCTCCCATTAGCTGATGACGTACCGTTTGGCTATTCATGGCCTCTATCAGCCGGTTCCACAATCCATAGTTTGTTTTTGCAATGAAAAAACAAATCACTGTGTACATTTTTTTTAGGGCCGGGATATCCGGTATATCTCGATGAATGTTTGCAACAGACCATCCAGTACACTGGCTAGACAAAAATGCCCTTACTAGTTACTCATAAGCACCGGAAGTCTGAACAGTGTGCAGTGTGCTCCACCGAATACACAATGGTCAAACACAGAATGGTCACATTGGCCTAAGAGGCACTCCTACTAAGTCACATTTCTTGGGTTACCAAATCTTACCCTTTCCATCAATTGGAAACTATGCAGTTGTAGTGATCTACATTGTGCCAACATGATCTAGATTATTACAAATACATGAATTAACTTGCCTTGATTTAAGACAGCTATTTCCGCAAAATTAAAATCTCAATGTTTATATCTCAGTCTCCAACGGGTCTCGATCAGTGCCTGGCCAATAACACCGGGCGCCCACTCCAACTTTGGAGATAATCGCAAAAAAAAAAATGGGGGATGGGCCCTTCTCCGGTCATCAATTTTACATATAAATGTACTGCGTGTATGTTCTCAGATCCTACAAATTTGGGCATGGGCGCTTAGTGTGGTGTGGGCAGATGCACAATATTCTATGGTATGTTTAATAAATAATTGGGTTGTTTGGATGTTTATACAGCCTAGAACTTGGTCTGCCTCACAGGGGCGACGAGTCTCCCAGCTGAAGATGAGAAATTTAGCCAGTGCGGTACAGCCGCTAGCCTGGGGTCTTTAACGTGCATCACGCAGTAGTGATACACGACCGCACACCGGTACGATGCTCATCCAGATCGAAACGGGCAGGGGTGGGGCTCGAACCCAGGATCCCTGGGTTCTGCAGCGCGAGCTTTCGCTCCACGTGCTCCGAGCTGGTGTGCGCTAGACCACTCGGCCACCGATCCCCCCATGGTATGTTTATCAAAACACTTCTACCGTAGAGTGTGAAAAAAAATAAATAAATAAATAAATAAATCCTTCCTTGACTGCAATTGATGCAGTCAAGGAATAAAACTCAGAACTGCCACTCAGAATGCAGCACCTTGCAAAGCTAGCTGGAACAAAGACGAAATGAGACAAACACAAACACAATCTACAATGAATTATCAGTGTGACACAGAGTGTGCAAATAACAGTACACTGTAGCAAATGATGTCAAATCAAAACTCTTGAAGCATAATTGGGAAGTATAATTGTGTTACTTAAAAAAAAATATTGTGCAATTGAAAATAGTGGCTAATCTATGCAGTAAGGGTTTTAACTGAAACTATCTATAAAGCAAAGGAACTATAAACATTTTGAAAGTAATTTCAGTTAACTGACACTGTGATAATACAAGAAGTGTGGCTTATTTCAATGCATCTGGATGTTCCACAGACATTAAACGGCTTGGTAGAGACACCGTGTCAAAAATAAATTTTACACAAAAGAAAAGAAAAAAATTTTAATACAATATTTACGGTGCGAGATTTATTTTAAAATCTGTGCTCCAAGTCCATGACACTACAGAAGGGTCATTCACTCTTTCGACCTCAATGATATGGTCTTTCGCTCTTTCCACCTCAATGTGAAGGCCAAGCCGATCCACCTCTCCTCTCTGCGCCCAAAATGCCGAGAGAAAACAAGTGGAAAGGAGCTGACTACCGACTAAATCATGTCTCTCGCCGTCAATACTGCTCTGGAAAAACTTTTTTTTTTTTTTGCATAGAATTTATTTTTTGACACACGTGTCCCAACCAAACTGTTTAAAAAAAAAAATTATATTTTTTCCTTTAGTGGTCTTTTTAACAGTATGCCAAAATATGGGGTGACTGATATAACCAGGCTTGATCTAAAATGGGACGTAAAAATTGGCGTCTGCACAGAGCAATCTCAACTTTTCGTCAAAAGTACATTTTAAAAATTATTTTTTTCGTTATTTTTTTTAGATTAGAAGGCATAGCTCCCTTTCTGTAAAAAAAATAGGGCCAAGAAACTTGCCATAGTCAATGGCGGACGGCAATGCTTACGACCAAGTCGAGTGGTGGGATGTGATTGGTGCACGTATCGATAGACGGCGCTACCTTCGTATCGAGACTGCTCACGACTACCATAGTTTATTAAAATGAACACACTCTTTTTGTAATGTACCTTTGCTTTAAAAATGAATGTGGACAATAAAAGCAAAACTTAAAGTAAAAAATTAAAACTGAATGCAGCTGCATAATGACAGCACTTTTGCTACCAACAAATTTCATCTGTGTGTCGTCTGCTTTCTTTCGCTGGTCGGCTACAGCTCCCGCTCCCCGCTCGCTCGCTCCCCCCCCCCCCCTCCCCCCCGACGCCATCTATCAATACGCGCGACAAACGCGCCCCTTCACTCAACTCGGTCGTCTGCGTCGCCATTCGCCGTCTACCCTGGCAAGTTTTTTGGCCTTATTTTTTACAAAAAGGGAGCTACACTTCACAATTTTACAAGAAAAAAATTACTTGTCAATACACCTTTGACGAAAAGTTTAGACTGCTTCGTGCGGGCACCGATTTTTTTGGCCCATTTTAGGTTGAGCCTGGCTATTTCAGTCACCCTATATAAGCAGCTTTGTTATAAAGGCTACAGGTCTGAAAAGTTTGCACCCAGAAACGTATGTCATCCACCTGTTCACACCAATAACAATGTTATGGTAGTTTTCCTCGGTATCTCGGTCATAAATGAATTCCACTTATTGTGCCATATTCCACTGCAATGAACACTGGGGACAGCACAGATTTTACTATATCGACTATAAGTAAAAATATGCTACATTCTGCAACTAGAACACATTCATATACCATCTGATGCAGAACTGGTACATCCAGACTGTTAAAACACCATGTTATAAATAGACCTTTTGCAAAAATTTATAAAGACCACATGCAAAGCATGCACTGAATTATGGCAATGTCCTTTATGGGAACGTCCCTGCCGCCTTGCATTCATCTATGTGACACTGAAGAGAATGAAAGAAAGCGAGGGTAGCGCAGTTGCTCGCCTGGATATCCTCTATTGCCTTCGAGGACACCTCTGTTGTCTGATACAGCCGGTTCTATACAGGCAGTTCCCAGCATTCCTTTTGACGCTGCAAGCTTTACAAAGAGTCAATGAAGACAAATTAAAAATAGTGGTGGTTTGAGAACTGCAAGACCAGAGGTTAATGCAAAAAGATAGCGTTCAACCCAACTTGCTGTACTGGGTGTGGCCATTTCGGCTTCCTACAAAAAAGTTCCCGCGTGTGTGAATATTTTAACCGCACATATTAAGCTTGTGCTTATTTCCTAAAGACAAAATATTATGTAGGCTGAAGGAAGAGACTATAAATGAGCAAGGACCTGTGCCTTGCTGGGCTCCCACGCGGCAAACAGACTGGCCTGTGTAACTTCAGCTTCAGACTTTTTTTTTTTTTTTTTAGTTCCTACACACAACGTTAGAACTTATATTGGCTCAAATTTCTCAATATGCTGGGCTGGTCAAAATAGCTGTGATATGTGATTCACTGCCCTCATTTCGACTTGAAAAGATGGAAGATGAGGCAGACAGTGCGTTCAAACAATGGCACCCCTTATGGGTGTTAGAAAGTGTGAATATTAGAAATTTACAAGAAAACATGCGTTCCTCTAGTAACTATCTACCAAAGTGAACCAATAGCTCATGCCATCACAAACAGAAAATAAAAAAGCACTTTTGCCGGTGTATGAAGCTGGGACCATGCGTCACACCTGAGCTCATGCACGGCAATGATGTCACTTTGCATGCACCAGAGAGCAACCACAATCTTCGCAACTACTTATGCTGTCTGCTGATAAAGAGCATAACAAAAAAAAAGGGGGGGGGGGGGGGGGGGAAGAAGACGGATTTTTTAATATGGTTGGGAAATAGTAGAAGACCCAGAATGAAATAGATCGAGGACGACGTAAAACGAATACTGTCGAACGATGCCATCGCGAATGAAGTTCCTCCCCCAAGGGCCCAATCCACCATCCATCAAATAAACGCCGCCACGTCTAAAAAAAAAAATAATAAAAAAAGAAATGTAGTTTTGCAGGTCTGCACAAAACGCCTCGACGTAATCGCGCGTAAGAGTTGGAATTCCAACCTAAGGAAAGCCCTCACTCGTTTAGAAGCAAAAAACCAACAAGCATACTCACCTCGCCTCCAAGGTACGAGGTGCACGAATGACTTGGATGTAATTAACCTCACCCCGTGGTCACTCGACGACACGAACTCACCGCCGTATCACTGAATCACTCGATATCACGTATATCACACTCATTCAACCATACTCACGCCGCGAGTGTGAGTGAGTTCGCCGCGGTGTGCAATATCACCATCAGAAAATTTCGAGTTTAGTTCGATGATGAATCGATGATCCAAGCAACTCGAGGACGGTTTCTGCCGCAGCCATCAAGCAGTTGATATGCAAAGACGCAGAGTCTACCGATAAAGGCGACGGTGCCTGCGCTGCAGCGAGAACTGTGGCGAAATGCACGCGTCTTGCTCAGAGCAGTGCTCAGAGCACTGAATCACAGTGACTTGCTGAAAAGGAAAAACCAAATGTAACGAGTCAAAAAAGAAAAACAAAAGTGCCAAAAACCACCAAAAATTAAACACAAGCTTGGATTGGATTGATTTGTATAATAGAGAGAGAAACTCTCGTTGTCGCTATCTTTTCCCCTTTTCGTAAATAAAAAGTGCACAAGCACCTCAAAACATTCAACTTTTAAAAGAAAAAATCGGAAATGTGCTCTATTGGGAGGAAACTAATTTCGAAGTGATCGTTAGATTGATATTTTTTTCACTTCAATCAGTCATCGGATTAGAGAAAGGAAAAAGACAAAGTCCAAGCCGAGCCTGAACACGATTAATGAACATTTTTGTTTTTCAAGTAGTTTTGCGGTTGTGGATGCATGCCTCCTTGTACAGTGGGCCTTTCCGTTTACAAACTGTTACGTTCTAACTGCAGCCACTGTCCAAGGCAGTCACCGGGCTTCGCTCTTCACATGCCCGGCTGAGCCGTGCAGTCTTTGGAGTGCGCTCTGGACCCGGAGAAACGCTCCTGTCTTGTGCAGCCGAGTGTTTAGATGGGTGTGCGGCCCTTCGGAAAGCTGTGTTTGCAGGTGCGATTGTGGAACAAGTGTGTTTCCAAAGGCCACGCGCTCCTAGCTTCGACACCATACGCTTCTCGAAATGATCTCTTTCTACTGTAACAAAGTGAGAAGTATTTCCGACAGATCTTCGGGCTCTACGAAGTAACAGGTTCATCGAGAGAGGACGACTACAACGTTTGGTGAGTATTTGGAGATTTTTATTGAATGGTTGCAGTCTTTAGAAGACGAAGTGAACTAGCGTAGCTGGGGGCGGTAAAAAGTACTACCAAACACTTACCAAGCATGCATAAACAATGTTACGTTTATACAGTAAAGATGCTTTCACCGCCGCCACAAATGCACAAACGCGACACAGCACAGACATGCGCGCACACACCATTAGGGAGCCTTCATGTGCGCTTTGCTAGGGTGATGCCACCCTTTGTAATACCACTCGCCGACAAACCAGCAGCCATTTTCGTCCTCGGCGATAATCCGTGGGCTTGTAACCCTCCCGGAAACAAGCACCTTATCTCACAAATTCGGAGCAGCGTTGTGGAACCCACGGAGGGAGGATTAGCATTTCCCCCCTCGGATGGGAGGACCGATGGACACAAACGCCACTTTCCGGCGCACGGGGAAACAATGAGGAACGAAATGGCGGTGGGCAAGGGTGTGGGAAAGGGAAACAGGCAGTTGGCATCACCCTATGCGAAGCGCACATGAAGGCACCCTACACACCATCACCTGATATGTGGCTTACACCTTCGCACATTTAGTCAACAAATGTGTTGACCAAGAACAAATGGAGGGAATGAAGAACGAGGTATAAAACAAATTATACTGAAACCTTTGTTACAAGTGTAAACTGAACTCGCTTCGCGCCGGCCAACGTTCGTCGGCGGCAAGAAGCGGAAGCATGACACACGTATTCGCGACTCCAGCAAAACGGACGCCGCCAAGCGGGAAAACCGGGAATCAGTCGGTCCAGGTCGCTCCGCGCCCCGCCGCGTCTCTGATGGCTTTCGCGGACACGTTCTGTCGGCGCGGGGGCGAGCAATGTAATTTGACGAAGGTCCGAAAATTTCTTAAGTTTGCCTGAGTGTTCATTAGTGTGGTGAAGCCTCAGTAGATTGTTTTTTTCCATCACGTGTTTGAAAGCCCGTTTACTCCACAACACACGGTCGCGTGCTTTCAATTTTTTGGATAAGGAGGAATCACGGAAAAACATTTTGATTTCTCGTCTGTCTCTAATCACATTCAAAGTGACGACTGCTTGGTAACTGGTAAGTGTTTTTTTTATAAGGACGTAGAACAGTGGACTGAGGTCGGCAGACGAAATGTTTCACTGGAGGGAACACCAATGTTGCAGTCAAGTGAATGGGAAGGTTCGATAGCTGCTTTCCTTGAGTTTGGTTGTGCTCGATTAGCTTCAAGTTAATTTAGCCACTAACGCCGGCCGGTGCGTTGGCTATTCATCTTGGCGGCTTTTCGCCGAAAAAGACCACATTGAAGGAGTTGGGCTAATTTCGCAATTACTTGATTCAGAAAACCTGCTCGCTGCATATGATTAATGAGGAAAATTGTCTGCTTTCAAAAGGTGGGGGACGCGTCTCGCAAAGTTAGAAGCTGTCACGTCATTAGGATCTATCGCGCCCTCCAATATTTATATTATAACCCCTGTCGAAGCCAGCAGCTATATACGTCTACATTGCTCAGGTTGACCGGCCACAAAAAATACTCATTTTATCCGTTCAGGATTCGAAGTCAAGTTCAATGCAGAGAGGTTCCGCGTGAATCTCCAATGAAGACTCTCTTCAGTTTGTCCGCACTCGTCTCCGTTCTACCGGCTAGAACCATTTGGCTAAGTTTAATTAGTATCTCTCTGTCTGTCAAATATACTTTTATTCAGCAGTTCACCTAATAGTTAGTTAACTAAGTTCATATTTCAACCCGAAGAATATACTAATATCGCTTTAGTGGGACATAGTACGTAAGATAATACATAATCCGCATATCCGTCAAAATGACTTCTTGATTGCTACTAAAACCTGAATTGAAATACGAGTATCAGCGCCTTAGTAAAGCGCCAGCGAGTTGACATGCTCCTTGGCTCAAGAAGCGCTTGCTTAATTTTTGTAATTTTCCTGCAGCCTGTGTTCTTGACCGAGCACACGACTGGAGCTGTTTCTTGAAACGCGGACAGGCACAAAAGCTCAATTTCGCGGACAGATAAGTCGCATGGTCGAGGCCATGCGAGTTAGCTAAAAATTACTCTCGGTGGAACAATTTTGTAGCCCTCGTCGCTTTCCTTAGATGATCAAAACTAATTAGAGTCTATTACCGTTTCTCCGGAGCCCATAGTTTCGGTTTTGATCGAAGTCTCCGAAACGAAAGTTTGACATGAAAAGAACAAAAAAACACCGGCAAGACAAAACTATGCTCGGCAAGTTTATGCGCACCGGCTACACTTAACTGTCTCAGTTCAAATACCCATAAAATTGGGCATTCAACAAAAGAAAATTTGCTAAATTGAATGCGCCACCCATTCAGGCGGCGCGGCCGAGCCGACGCGACCTGGACTCAGCCGCCATGTTTGTTTGGTGGTGGCGCCCCCTATAGGTCGCTGGAGTCGCGAATAGTTCAGTTCCAACACAACACTAACTGAGGGAGCTGGGCAGGGTTGCCAAGTGTTTGTACTCTGACCCGCCAAATTTCTACGAGATATAGCCCAAAAATAGCCAAATGTCGATCCAGAAAAGTAGCCCGAAAATAGCCAAAAGAAAAACTGACCATTCGGAACGTTTATTTTAAGAACAAAAGACACATAATGCATTTTTATACATTAAATATAAATATTCACACCACTAGCTCGCAGAACCAACGCCAGAGTATGGGTACGTCACTGCAGTATTAAAAAGTGTCAGAAAAACATCTGAAGGAGCATAGTCCTTGCAGCACTGCTCTTTGCCATACAGTAGGAATTTAACAGACAAAATGTGCTCCAGCGTTTCCATCGACATTATGTTTTGCAAGTCCGTTTTTGTGAAGGTGACCTGGCTGAACACGCGTTCTACTGCTGCGTTGGACAATGGTAACCTAAGCATCATACCTTCCACTGTATTAATGGGATGCTTAGTATCGGGACATGGTGACCAGAACGGCTTCACGGGAAAACTATACAGATTTAAACACAAAGTGTATGTGCACGCCAATCAACAGACAACCTAAAGAATGTGCAGAACAGGTGGTACTGTTGGGGCCGCAAGGAATGGCGCCGTCCCTGGTTGAGATGGAGGAATAACAGCACGCGCTTGCATTTGGACAAGATTTGGGGGTAAAGAATGCTGAGCAAAGAGCAGACGAATTTGCTCGCTGTCGCATACTTTTCAGAGTTAAGAGACTGAAGCGCCAAATGTTTACGTAACTTGCTATAAAAATACCATATTCGAACCTATAAACTCAAGTGTTTTGAAGCATTCTGGCGTGCCCAGCACGGGTCAGAAATAGCCCAATACTAGCCAAATAGCCAACTACCACTTTTTCCCGCCAACTGCAAATAAAACTAGCCCAATTTGGCTATTTATAGCCCAACCTGGCAACCCCGGAGCCGGGTGGCCCCCTGTTTAATATAGAGCGTCGCAGTTCCAGTCATCGTCACACTAAACCACCAGGGGACTTTGTGGCGCTACATGCTGGCCAGGAATATAACAGTCCTCCCCTCTAAGGTACAAAGACAAGCTACAGCTAAGGGGAGTACCGCTGCACGGCCCTCCTAGTCGTGCTACGGCGCAGCTGGGGTGGACTGATGCTTGTAGGATGAGGAGTTACCTCAGGGCTTGCGACACTGTCGCTTGCACCCATGCTTGTTTCGCCTGGCTCGAACAGAGCGCTGGGAGCACCAGCAGATTGAATCTTATTTAATGCTTGTGGTTTCAACTGCACTGCAGCACCAACAGGTTGACACGTCTCTGCCTCGGCCGTAGCTGCTGTAGTGGCGTCGGTCGGTCTGGAACGCAGGTGATCACCATGCCGATGCCACAGTGTGTCATCTTCAAGGCGGACTTGCGCTGAAGACTGACTTGTGGCGCCGACGACTCGAGCAGGCACCCAGGGCATACCCTGGTGGAAGTTCCTGGCGAACACGTTCTCCTCAGGGTTCAGCGGCGCTCCCTGTCGGCAGCCTTTATCAGTAGACAGTTTCTGTTTTAGCTGCTTGAGCAGCACTGATGATTGGAGGCTGGTACGCAGGACATCCAACGGCGTCTTGAACATCCTTCCCGTCAACAACTCGCATGGTGCTCTGCCCGTGACCTCGTGCGGAGTAGTCCTGTAATGAAACAGGAATCTGGAAATCCGAGTCTGAAAATTCCCAGAGCCACCTTTCTTGAGTTTGTTCTTAAAGGGGCCCTGCAATGACGTTTTGACTGGTTTTTAATTTGCACTGAACCTGAGCGTACTGAACGTAGTAACTTAATCCAACTTTTCTTTTCTCAAATTTCGCTTTATTTTAAAAGTTATAGGCAAATTAGAATTACAAAAACAAGCAAAAAATAACCTCCTTCATGACGTCGTAGGTCCTGCCTTGAGTGGCCTTGAACTAGAGGAGGAGTAGTGAGCTCAACGAGCGCACACGGCTGCCGCACTCCGTGTCGACGGCTCGAGAGGGCGCCACTAAAGCACGTGTTGGATAGGCTGTATGAAGCGGGCGGCCAGGGCAGCTCATATTGCATTTGCAGCGCGACTAAACACTAATTCGGCATAACATTTCATTAGCCACAAACGACAGCAAACACGGGGTGAAGATCAGTTGAGAACAAGAGCCACTTTGCGCTGCCGCACCGCCAAATGGCCAAATCGCCAACAGGGCCCGCGCCGAAGGCCTTCGGAACGCTCGGAACCGGTCGGATTCTTGAGCCGGTATACGACCACAGCGCCGCCGCGTACATCCGGGACCTTTCTACGCTCCTCGTTTGTCGTAGCCTCATCCCACTAGCCTTTTCTAGTATGCGCCGTTTTTTTCCGCCGCTTGGTGGCAGGTATGTCGACGGGTCATTTCTCGTTTCCGTACTTTCTAAACTGCATTTGTTTCTTTTCTGATCTAAAATAGTGAACAAAAACTACTTTCATACATAATTGAAACGGTTCGCGACACTTATATTTTGTATCTCGACTAAAAAAAAGCTCTTAACGGCTTTGA